CCATCGACGCCAGCAACGGCGGCCTCGTCGGCACGATCTCGGGCACCGACCTGAGCGACCTCGCGTTCCTGTCCTCGCTCGACCTCAGCTTCAACCGGCTCGGCCACGACCTCCCGGTCCTCCCGCAGCCGCTCAGATACCTGACGACGCTCAACCTCAGCTCCAACTCCTTCTTCGGCATCCCCGACAGCTTCTTCTTCTCCTTCCCGGCGCTCGAGACGTTCGCCATCGACGACAACCTGGTGATCACGGGGAACGTCCCGGAGGACGTGGTGCGCTGTCCCGCGCTCAGGACCTTCTCGGCTAATAACGTCACGCTCTTCGGCGCCGTCCCGGAGTCCTTCGGCAACGTGACCATTTTCCCGGCTTTCGAGCGCCTCTCGCTCGCTAGGAACCATCTCCTGGCGTCGATAGGGGCAGACTTCGGCAAGGGCAGCAAGATCAGGTTCCTGGACCTCAGCAGCCAGACCCCTGAAACCGAGGGCGACAGCCTCACCGGGCGTCTCGACTTCGTCGCCGGCATGACGGACCTCGTGGAGATCCACGTGGGTGGCAACTCATTCGACGGGCCACTGCCGGACGCCTCCAGGCTCGTGAATCTCAAGGTGTTCGACGCGCCAAACAACAACTTGTGCGGGCTGGTCGAGTACAAGTTCCCTCCAGGTGTTGCTGTCAACATTGACGGGAACCCGGGCGTTGGCAAGGACTGCTAGGCCCGGACCCACACATCTGTAGAATTACCTTTATTTTTCAACAAAAATGGCATGTCCGATACGTACACTACTTGTCTGTTTTTTCGGGGACTTTGTGATATCTTCTTTTGCTTTTTTTGTCTTCAATTCTAACTATAGAAAAAAAAAACATATGCACGCCTTGCAACGAACCAGTGGCTTAGCTTGCCTCTAAACCAAGGAGGGGCCATTTCGCAGGTGAGCGGACAACAAGAATATCACCCTAGAGCAAGTATAATAACAGGTTGTAAGAAAACTGAATGTTGAGATGGATGAAAGAGAAGATGAGAGATAAGGAAAATGGATTATAAGTTTACTATCCAGCTTATGTATAAAAATAAAAAACTACTTTGTGAGAGAAGAAAGTGGGCCATGTGTTAATAGTGAAGAGCTAATTATTATATAAATGGACTGAGAGATGGGCTGCAACGATCCACACCGGTTCCTATGGAGGCTGGCACAAAATAGTTTGCCTTAAAATGAACATCAAAAGGAGAGGCATTGATCTGGAAAACAAAATATTTTTTCAAACCACTCTTGACAAATGAACACCAAGCCAGCCACTGAGAGATTGGGGCATCATAGTTTTTCTCTACGGAGTATTTATTAAGGATGAGTGGAGTCCAAGCAGCTAACACCAATGTACATACTCTGAACGCGAGCTATATCCTGATATCTTTCGTCGAACTAAATATTTTTTTATCTAAAAATGGTTTTCTTTCATGCCACAAAATCTCTCCAAGAGACAAAAGAATCTGAACTGTGTCACTACTCAGTAGCCAAGGTCATACGGCTGCTAAGGGGCGGCAACATTTCTGATTTTCTGCATGCAGACAGCGCAGAGCGGAAGAGATAGGAAAAAAAAAAAACTCTCATTTCTCGACACTGCAGGAGTACTGCAGTTGGCTACGCACCTTTGTGCTCTTGTTCCACGTGTAAATTCACGCCACCTGCTAGTAGTTTCTCGTTAATCAACACATCACTCTCCATACAGACACAACGCTCAGATGATAGAGAATTTACTTGCAGTTTAGGAGCCACATAAGAAAACAGCTATAAAAAAAGCTCGTAAATAGGGGTATAATATACTCCCACCATTTTTCTAAAGTTTTTGAATCAATGAAGTTTAAGATATCATGTTTTAGGGCATTCAGTGCATATTTTTTCCGCCACGTAGCAAGGCCACGTCAGATAAAATGCATGTGTGTGGCAAGTATGGACCAACAATATATCATTTAACAAGTTTAGGTACTTAGAAATGCATTTTCAAAGTTCAGAGGCCTAAGTGACATCCCATGATAAGTTCAAGGGTCTCTTATGGAATTAACTCTATTTCAAAACAAAGGGAGTAATGTCTCGAGAGAAGTCGAAGAAGCCACATTTTTTACATCCTTGTAGTACAAAAACAACTTCTCCACTATGGAGGTTCTCTCACGGAGTTGTTTCTTGAGTTAGTATTTGGCAGGGTTTCACCTAAGGAGTCAGAGAAACCAAAGCTGAAACCCCTCGAGAAGCCTACCAATTTTATGACAGCGTTACTTTCTTCGATGATTTTGTATATAATGTCGTAATACCATTTTATGACACTACTGCAGAATTGGACATCACTGTCGGCCTCACCACTGCCAGATTTTAAGAAACCAACAGTGATAGTCCATCACTGCTGATTTTTAGCTAAAACCGACAGTAATAGGATCAACCGATACTGATATTCGGGTCTTCACTGTCGGTTCATATCACTGTCGATTTTAGCCAAGAACCGACAGTGATATTGGGTCATCACTGCCGGTTTTAGCCAAGAACTGACACTGATACTGTCACTGTCGGTTCGTGGCTTGAACCGATAGTGATATGCTGCAAAAAAACTTTATAAGTTTCTCATATGATATCCGATTAAGATGAACTTTATATCAAAGTTGTAGTACTTGACGAGATCTACAACTTTGTAGTTTAAACTTTTTTTAATTTGAGATCGTTTGGATGTCCAAATATTTTTATTTGAAATCATCTATCTAACGAAAATTACGTTCTTGATTTCTCAAATTAAAAATTTGAATTTTTCAAACGATCTCGGATTAAGAAACGCCCAAAACAAAAGTTGTAGATATCGAAAAGTTATGCAACTTTGTAGTTGACATCTTTTTCATTTGAAATCATTTACTAGTTCAAAATACTATTTAAAATTAAATTTTAAAATTATTGAAGAACTCTGATTTTTCTTTTTAATCTCTGGCTAAAACTTGTAACTATTCTTTCTCCCTCGTACTAACTTCAAATTTGATGATTTTTTTTTCTAAATTTTTTTAAAATCATGCTCTATCAATTTATTGTGTTCTTACAACTATTATTTTATCCATCTCTTCATGTGATTGTGTTTTATCTATTTGAATTTTGAATTTCAAAAATGACAACTTCAAACGTCATTTTGGAACACTAAATGATTTTAGCTGAAAAAGTCATGAACATTGAAGTTGTAGAACTTATCAAGATCTACAACTTTTATTTTGGTCGTTTCTTCATCCGATAAAATGATAGTGACATTGTTAACAAAATTTACGTATCTCTCTTATAGTTTCATAAACTATAAGAGGGAGTTTCATAAACTATAAGATGGATATTTTATATTTGTGAATAATGTTACTATCACTATGTTGGATAATAAATGATCAAATGACCAAAATAAAAGTTATAAATCTCAAAAAGTTATGAAACTCTGTAGTTGACAACTTTTTGATTTGAAATCATCTTGTCAAGGAAAACTACGTTTGAATTTCTAAAATTTGAAATTCAAATTTTGTAAACGACCTTGGATGGAGAAACTATCAAAATAAAAGTTGTAGATCCCAAAAAGTTATGAAACTTTGTAGTTGACAACTTTTTGATTTGAAATCATCTTGTCAAGAAAAACTACGTTTGAATTTCTAAAAATTTGAAATTTGAATTTTTTAAATGACCTCGGATGGAGAAATAGCAAAAATAAAAGTTGTAGATCTCAAAAAGTTATAAAACTTTGTAGTTGATAACTTTTTGATTTGAAATCATCTTGTCATGGAAAACTACGTTTGAATTTCTTAAATTTGAAATTCAAATTTTGTAAACGACCTCGGATGGAGAAATTACCAAAATGAAAGTTCTAACTCTCGAAAAGTTATAAAACTTTGTAGTTGATAACTTTTTCATTTGAATTCGTTTAGGGTCTCAAATACTAATTTAAAATCAGATAAACATAAAATGGCTAGGACGAAAATCTCATTCCCGGACACAAACAATTTGCAGGTGGAGTGGTTAGGGGCTGAAGACACGAAGCGGAGGTCAGGGGTTCGAGCGTCGGTGGCCGCGAAGCGTGTGATTTTCGCGTGAAAAATCTTGTGACATGTGGACTTGCGATGCCCAACCATGTGGCTGTCCAATAGGGCCTCTCCCGAAATTTTAAAAAATTCTTAATTTTTGGCCTGTTTTTTGGATTTCCTAAAACCACATCAGCTGTCGGTTCATAAGAACCGGCAGTGATGTCAACCTCACATCACTGCCGGTATGCCACTGCCGGTTTAAAATCCGGCAGTGAAAGGGGATTTGGAACCGACAGTGATGTCGAAAACTAGGGGGTAGCGTGACGATGGTTACACGGTGATCCTCATGACGCAATTTTTTTTGCTATTGTGCTTATATGACAAAGTTATATGTACTTTGTGGTGATTACTCATCATCAAAGATAGTCAAATTTCTTGTAGTCAAATAGGGCCTTAGCATAAACCTAATTGAGGTTGACATTGAGCACACCCACGTGTGTAATATTCCTTTATGGAACAAACCTTACTACTAGATAGTAATAACTGAACTTATTATGCTGACTTTCTACTTTCTAAACTCACAATTGAGGCCAAATTCCTCCGTAAGCAACTTAACCATTATTATTTTCTTAATTTTTAATGAAACACACTGAAAAAGAACACAATATAGTTTCATTGTTATTATTACATGGAAAATGAGCAAATACATTTTAACCCCGACTAGGCAGTGAACATATATCGAGGCAATAATCTTTACTTATTACATATTATACGACTGAATCTTAGCCATAGCTTATCATACGTGCTCTGACACATCGACATTATATTATTATATTATTTCCCTGGCGTATCAAATTGTTGCTGATCGTCGTGACGTCACCCATGCATGCATTTCGTATGGAGAAATCAATCCGCCAACGCAAAGCCACTGACGGTGCACAGCGGTGCATGTGCTAGTAGCAGATGCTGGCTCTCAGTCTCAGTACCCACCGGCGAACTTGGACTTGATGAGATCGACGACACTGGCGTCCACCCGGAGCGCCTTGGCGAGCACGGGCGTCGGGATCGGCGGAGAGGACCCGAACAGCGTGAGCGGCACGAAGATGATGCCGGGGTTCTGGCTGTTGAACGACACGACCATGGCGGCGTCCTCCTCGCCGACGTTGAACTGGAAGTGCATGAGGCCCCGCGGGATGACGAACGTCTCCCCGGCGCGGACCACCTTAGAGTAGTACCGGTTCCCGGAGTCGAGGCCGCCGACGATGCCCACGAGGAGCTCGCCGCGGGTGACGAGCCCGACCTCGGTGGCGCGCGGGTGGACGTGCGGCGGGTTGGTGCCCCCCGGCGCGAAGTCGACGCGGTTCATGGACACGCCCAGCGTGTTGACGCCAGGCCACTCGGACACGTCCAGCTCCGTCACGTTGGAGCCGTTCGGGTTGGCCAGCGGGTCGCCTCCCGTGGCGATCTTGTCCGAGAAGAGGAACTGGTCGCCGGCCGACGAGGACGGCTGGCAGGGGAAGCCGTTCACTGAGAGCTTGCCGCTGAGGTCGGCGACGCAGAAGTCCTGAAGAGGGTCTGGGTCGGTGGCCTTGACGAGGAGAGGGAGAGGTGCCAGCACCAGCATGGTGAACAGTGACGCTAGGGCTTTGGAGTACTCCATTGCTATTTGCTAATGAACTGGCCGGGGCCAACAAGTATATATATAATCAGCTAATGTGCTGTGCTGTCGAGAGATCGATCCTAGCTAGTTGGCTATGTGTGTAGTAGTGAGGGATGGATTGTTGAGGATCCATGGAGCCCTTTATATAGAGAGGTGCATATGCATGGCCAGCATGGGCTCGGAGACTCGCCAGCCGTATAAAATGATGTCATTTCACCATTTATTTCTTTTCAGAAATATTTCACTCTTTTCTTAGCCTAGCAAGGACAGAAAATGATTCTTCCTGGGACAAGACAATGGGTCTTTTCGATTTCTGTAGCCACACGTGTAAACAATATGCTACAAAATGATTTTTTATGCCAATATGCTACAATGAATTTTCCATTGTAATGACATGTTTTTTTTTATGAAGGTTGTAATGACATCTTCTAAGTCATGTTTAGAGCCGAGAGATACTATAACACAGATAGGGTCGGAGTGAAAGGCAACACCGTGGTATAGACCCTGAACAAATAGTGTAACAGCTGAAAACCACTGTTCAATTGCGGCTGACGGACTAAATATTTATTTGGACACTGACTTTTTTTTTCTAGGACGCATGATAACTAGGAATTTATAATATATACATAATTAGTTGCACTGTGCATAGTCAAGCCGTACCGGCTGCTAAGGAACGGGAATATTTCTGTGCGTAGACACACCGAGAGGAGCTAGGAACAACACTCTTCAGTGGGCCACATGGAGTACTTCAGTTGGCTACGCACCTTTGTGCTCTTGTTCCACGTCCTGATTCTCGCGGGCTAGTTTCACGTTGTCAACATATATCACGCTCCATACTGAAAGCGTGTGTGTTTTGGGTAATCACACAATGAATATTTTCATTACCCATACCGGCAAATATATAGTGTACACGTTACAACAAAAAGAAATATCCTATCTTGATTGTCGCCGTGTATAGAATACGCTGTTGCCATGATTATAGGGATTGGATCCATGTGTCGAAGGAAAGACCTCACATTACGTACGCCAGAAGAAGCTTCCACCCCCTCTTGCCCTTGTTACGCAACACTTAAGCCACAAACATTGAGACTGGAACGAAACTTGGTGAAGACAGATGTTGCCAGCCCCTTGGTGAAGATAACGACATATGAGATGGGGTTGGTACATGTACAACGCGAACTGCCCCAGTAGCAGCCTTGTCACGAACAAAATGAAGATCAATCTCAATATGTTGGGTGCAAAATATCCTATCATGATTGTTGCCGTGTACAGAAGATGCCAATCTGTTGGCATGATTATAGTGATTGGATTGATATGTCTAACACATACAAATATAACACTCACACAAGAATTTACTAAAACTTCGAAAGTAACCTGTAGCTAATGATCTATATCTTTATTTATACCAAATGTTAAAAGAAGTAAATTTCTTATGTTTGTTCTTCAATTTTCATTCTCCTCCCTGCCTGTTTGTTCCTCCCTTCCGCACCTCTTTTTTCTTCTTTTGTTCAGTCATCTCTCCCTCTCACTCTCCTCGCTTTCTTAGGTGATAAATGTAAACGCACGGCAAAAGTTGTAAGCCACGGGTGACAAATGTAGGCCCATGACGAAGTGAGGCCTTAAATTGTATCATCCTTCAACACGTATGGTTATAGGTTGGAGCTACAAAATCTTCACCGGTCCTGTGACTCATATTTAAACCTTTTAACCCATCACAACAAGTGCGCACAACAACCATACTTTCGTGTTGACTCAATCTTAGTCAATTTTCTATATAACACTACCTAGATTAGGTCTTCGCTGCTGGGTCTAAACCCCCTATTACTGCTAGTTTCTGGAACCGGTAATGGAAAACTGGCAGTGACAAGGTTTTCCATAAAATAAAAAGGGCCAAAAAATAGTAAATAATTATTTTAATCCCAAGAAGCCCCCCACCAACTAGCTGCACAGTCGCGCGTTCGTCCCCTAACTACTCCACCATAAAACAGTTGTGTCTATCTGGGATATTCGTCCTCCCTATTTTATGTTCATCTGGTTTTGAAATGGGTATTTAGAAGACTAAACGAATTCAAATGAAAAAGTTGTCAACTATAAAATTTTACAACTTTTCAAGATCTACAACTTTGGTTTTGGTCATTTCTCCATTCAAGGTCGTTTGAAAAATTCGAATTTCAAATGTGACAAAATTCAAACGTGATTTTTCTTCGATAGATGATTTCAAATTAAAATGTTATCTTTAAAATTGTACAACTTTTCAAGATTTGTGACTTTGATTTTGATCATTTCTCCACCCGAGATTATTTGAAAAAAAAAATCAAATTTCAAATGTGAGAAATTCAAATGTAATTTTTATTGGATAGATGATTTCAAACGAAAAAGTTGTCAACTACAAAATTGCATAACTTTTTGAGATGCACAACTTTTATTCTGGTCGTTTCTCCATTCGAGATCCTTCCCTACCACTACACTATAAAATTGCATAACTCACTTTGTTACTATACGCTATAAGGATTCCTTTGGTATTAACTCTATAAAATCTTGTGATGTATATTTGGACATCCAAACGATCTCAAATCAGGAATGTTTGAACTACAAAGTTGTAGATCCCGTCGAGTACTACAGTTTTAGTATAAAGTTCGTCTTCTTTGAACATCATATGAGAAAGTTATAAATTTTTTCGTGCAACCTATCACTGTCGATTCATGTCTCGAACGGGCAGTGATACTCTATCACTGTTGGTTCAAACCATGTACCAGCAGTGATAGACTATCACTACCAGTCAATTAGAAACCGGCATTGATGGGGCCGGCAGTTAATGTCAACTTTGTAGTAGTGTAAGATTACTTTTTTACTATACCTAGGATTTATTATGAGTCTTAGAATTTATTTTTAATTGAAATAATATTGGGTTAATCTCATATCTATAGATCGTGGATTACGATGTGCATGCATATGCCATACGTAACACACGGGCCTATAATATTGTGAATGGCGCCAATTAAGTGTAACTCGATTAAGCTCTTGGTGTTGGAAATTTGACGTGACGTATTGTTGTGTCCAGTAATTCAAGATTTGTAGGCGCCTGTAACACACGGGCCTTAATATTGTGAATGGCGCGAATTCTTGTGTCCAATAATTCTGTTCGCTTCAAGATTTGTAGGCGGCGGCTTTGATTTTGTTGCTAGGTCAGGGCGACAGCCAGGCAGGCACACTAGATAGAAATAATCCTATCTTATTTGTTTATTAGCTAACTTGTATTAGCGTCCCTCCTTTGGGTCAGATAAAGATGGTTTGTTTTGTTTGATCGTAGGAGAAAATTCAAACAAGTAGCCAAGAAGAAATTTATCTCTTCAAATATTATTTCTAAGACATTTCTAAAACAAACAAAAACATTAAAAATAGAGAGGCATTTTTGTAAAAGCTACTCCGCCGCGAATGGGCACGTGGTTTAGTGCTAGGGTTGTCCAGTGGAACAATACCCACCAGGGTTGTCGCACCTTTTTCCGGATTTTTCTAGAAATTTAAGGGTACGGCACACACTCGCATTCGGTGGTACTACACATTTTCCGCACGCACTTGAGGCTAGAAAGCCTCCCAATCTCTTCTTTGTGTGTGGAGTGTGTGGGTCAAAGTTGTATCCGATGAAAAAAAAAATGCTTAGTCCTGAAATACATGTATCTAAGCGTTCAAAATTTACCCAAATGATAAAGAATTCTAGATGACCTAACGCTCAAAACGTAATTTAAAAAGGCAACACTCACCTGCATACTTATCATTAGTTTCTAGAGTAACCCAAACATAGTAACTCGGAATTACGTGTCTTATTTGGTTTACAAATATATGTCATAGAATTCTTAGATACCTTAATTCTAGAACATAGGAAGTAATACTTAAGGCAGACTTTATTTGGAATAATTAGTTAATCCCTCCGTTCCAAATTGAGATCAACTTTTAGAGTTGTCCTAAATCAAATTATGCTAAGTTTGACCAAATTTATAGAAAAATTACTAATATTTATGATACCAAAACATTGTTTTTTTATACATCATATATAATGTTAACCCTTATATGCTTAGTTCCTGATATTGGCCCTGAAGGTTGGTCTTTCCATTGGTTTATGTTCACAATGTGGCACCTACTTCGGTTAACCGTGTGTCTGTGTCATAAAGGGTCAATCTGCAGGGTATCCTTCATATAGAGTTGATAAAAGACCGATCGGGCTGGGCCTCGTGTCACATAGAGTCCAACTTTCTTCGCATCGATCAGGGGGTGTATGTGACCCAACAGGCCGACAGTCCAAGATAGAGCCCAACTGACAAAGTCACTGTCGTTCTATGTGACACGAGGCCAAGTGCATCCATTTTTTTCTTAAAAGAATTGTGAAAAAGTGAAGAAGAAGAAGAAGAAAGTGCAAGCTCTATGCTATGTTATTGTAAAATTTCTCTTTTTTTATAAGAAAATCCTACATGAGATTCAAACTGTTTGCAGATCGATACTTTTTTTTGAATGTAATTTGCAGATCGATACTCACTTTAAAGTATATTCCAGTTTGAACTTCTTATATGAATATAAATATAGTTGATCCATAACTCAACTCCCACTAACCGATAGAATTTCATCCAGGGTCGACGTGGCAGATTATCACTCGCTACTGGCTATAGCCTATATAGGTTCACTTTCAGGTGCCACTGTGCCAGGTATAAACACCATTTTCAGAAACCAAGCAGGTTAGATGGACGGTACTGACGTGGCCCGGATCTTCCTAATCCTGGACGCACGCATCAAACAAAGTTAAGCTATCAGCATCAGTAAAGTGCCGTCCATGTCTCCGTCAGCTTCGAACGCCCTGAGGGCTCGAAACAACCACATTCCCCGGTCGCTACAACTTCAGAGCTACCATTCCTAATAACCAACCTAAAGGGCTAAGGCGACGTCGTTCCGATCAACTGCTCACTGGAAGGCAAAATGAAATGAAGCTGCCACCGGTCCCTGATAGAGTGTAAGAGGACTTGTATTGTATGCCTCTGAGGCTGATGATTGCTTGTTTGTTTACTGAACACGGGTAGGAGGCAACAATAACAATATTTTTCAAGTTTTTAAAATTGGTTTTTGCAGTTTTTAGAGAACACGGGCGTCTGAGGTTGATGATTGCTCGCTTGTTTACTTGTATTATTATTTACTGAACACGGGCGTCTCGCGTAAACGGCCTCGATCGACTTTTCTGGCTTAAACGCGACGACCCCACCGGCCACCACCGTTCCAGACACGTCCAGTGTCAACCCCATGCGTTCCAATGGAGCTAGCTCGCTAACCGCATCTAACAAAACAAAAAGAAAGCGGCGGTATCATGCATGATTCCAGCCACAGGGAAGCTGATGAAATCCGGCCGCTCGCTGCCTCTCTTGTTTTTCCTACCTAAAAGCCTCGTCAGGGCAGCTACCAAACTGACAGTCCCGGCTTTATCATGCCAAACTAAATCCAGCCCCATGGGACCAGAGAGCAACGGCTTCGGCCAAATGTAACCTATAAAGTAAAGTTGTTACATCAGGATAAAGTTTGTCACCGGGGAAAAGCAAGAGGAATTTGATGTATCCATTGACAGAGTTTATTTGTAGATTAATTTAGGTGTCCGATGACTGCCCCAGATACCTGTCTTCTGGATAAATATGGCCGCATATGTTTGACCTCAATAGTAATAAGTGTATTTAATCATGTACTGATACACTACGCATTGGCAGAACCACTTGGGAACGTATAACCACGTGGTTGTATTTAATCTGAATTTCGGAGGAATAATCTCCACAGATAACGGTTTTTTTTTTTGGCTCAACCAGGAAATACAACTAAAACATAGTAACAGCTGCGCGTCTCAAAAGGTCATCAGCAAGAGCCAGAAATGAGGAATATATATGGGTTTTTTTTTTCAAATTTAGATACCAGCAGTGAACAGATAATGCTCACATGAGGATTCTTTTTGAAACGAACATATATGATTCTTTTTTTCAAATTTATTTAGATGAAATATCAAGCAATTATTGGAGTGTCGATTACCGATATCACTTACAGTGGGATCATCAAAGTCACTAAATGCAAAACCGAAATAGCAAATCGTGTGTCACATCATAACATGGCAAATTATGTATCCACGCAATGCTCACTTGGGTCATCTTCAATTTTCGGCTCCTGATTGTCATTCCACCATTGTTCCCAATCCTCACCATATGCATGAATGCTAGCAGGCATCTGTGCCTTCTTCCACAACCATCCACCTCCGGCCCTCCCTCTCCAAACAAATGATTAGGGTTCAAATCGAGGTTCATGGTAGAGAAAATTCACTGCAACCCTAAGCATCGAGGTTCGTGGTAGAGAAAATTCATTGCAACCCTAATTAAGCATGTGTTTGGTTTTGTGACATCATGTGATGAGATGGTTCTATATATCCCAAATTTTTAGAATGGGATAGAGCCCTCCTAATTTCTTGTTTGGTAAAGGGATTAGGATGGTGGGATGGATGCTAAGGTCAGCACCGTAGTCGCCGTGAGTGGTGGGCCCCACGCGTCATCCTCAATGGATCCACACACGAACAACGCTAATCTTGCATGATTCGACTGCCACTGGAGCCGCCCCGACCTTGTTGTGTTGTGCTACCCTACCAGAGCCATCCATGTCGCACCACCTTGCTAGAGCCGCCCCACCCTTGGCTGCTTCATCCTACAAGAGCCATGCAGTGTTGCCCCGCACCCACGGCCATGTGTGTCTCGTCTTGCAACGGAAGCGAGTGGCAATGTGACGCAAACAAAGATGGAAGCTTCTGCCCCTTCAAATTTTTGGGCTAGATCCATCTCCCATTACTCTAGAGATGGGACCATCGCATCTGCCCCTAAATCAAACACAGGCTAAAACAGGATCATCACATCTCACGTCTCTGACCAAACACCCTGCTAACTCACCATCTTTAACCTTGTGGCGCTCCATTCTCACCGGCGTCGACATTAGGTGTGAGTGCTTTATTTTTTTTTTCTTATTGTTTCTTCTTTTGCCAAAATTGCTTCTTACCACGTTACCACACGGTGGTAACGTGTGGTAACGCTTGTTAGGTGTGGTTGCTCCTTTTTTCTTGTTGTTTTCTTTTCTGCCAAAACTGATTCTCACTGCTTTCTTTATTTTTTTTCGAAAGGACAACAAAGTTTTACTGTAAATAAATTTTATTAACAAAAGAAAATAAAAGCAAGTGCTGTTCGGTTTTCATTGCTTCCTTTGTTTTGTTTTTCTTTCAAAATTCAAAAGCAGTGGATCTCTCCATCCCTACTGGTGGTGCTTCTTCTACTGGCGGTGTTTGCCTTTTGTTTTCTTTATTATCCTTTTTTACGCAAAATCTGCTCCATTTTTTTGGCTAAAATTTAAACTAGTGCACGGGCAGATTGGACTGGTGTACGCCGTCGGCTGAAACAAATGTCAGCTTCAGTCGAGTTACCTATAGTACTCCGTACGTATAGCAGCTCCCTTTCTTTTTATTTTTAAATTAATTAAGTACATAGAGATTAAGAAGAACAGATGATTGATTTGAAAACAAACTGGTCCCTGATGATTAGGACGTGGTGCGGTGAAACCTGAAAAGGCTACTGATGCTGCACAGCTGCAGTGAACCGGAAACGCACGCACGCACGCGACAGCAGAAGCCCGGGCTTACATAAAGGGAAGCCGCTCCGGCGATTCTTCCCCAGACCGCTTCTTCGCAAATCTCCCCCTCCCACTTCGTCTTCCTCCGTCCCCATCTCCCACGGATCACCCTCTTCCTTCGTCTTCCTTCGCAGACCTGCATTGCTGGTGCGCTGCCGCGCGGCGAGGAGCTAGCCCGCGCGGCCGGCCGGCGCCATGCCTCCCCCCAAGGCCGACGAGCTGGTTGTGCACGCCGTCAAGGAGCAGTTCGCCGGCCTCGACTTCTGCATCACCAGCCCCCCGCCATGGCGTACGTTACATACATACAGCTGCCTGTCACCATTTGGTTTTATTTGCTTTGCTTGGCTTTGCTTTGATTGCCACCCGGCCGCCTCCACGCGCTGACAACGCCGGCCGGTGGGTCGATGGTCCGTTGGGCTGGCTCTGTCTGAACCGCTTGTCGTTCCGTGCTGATCTGCTGCAGTCACGACGGTGCTCGTGGGCTTCCAGCACTACCTGGTGATGCTCGGCACCACCGTCCTCATCGCCACCATCATCGTCCCGCTCATGGGCGGCGGCCATGTATGTGAGCCTGACTGACTGCCTTCCTTCTGTTCCCCTTAATTTCGTTTGCCCGGACCGGACCTGTGGACGGACGAGCACTGATCGATGAGCGCACGCGCGCGGTGGACGCATGCATGCAGTATGAGAAGGCGATCGTGATCCAGACCATCCTCTTCCTGTCCGGGATCAACACGCTGCTTCAGGTCCACTTCGGCACGCGGCTCCCCGCCGTGATGAGCGGCTCCTACACCTACATCTACCCGGCCGTCGCCATCATACTCAGCCCGCGATACGCGCTCGTCATCGACCCGCTCGAGGTGCGCAGCGCAACTGCACGCTCACGTTTCCGAGAGGATCGCTTCTGCTTCCTCTGTTCTTTCTTCAGTCACCGCAGCTGATCGATTCCATCGGTGTCGCCTGTTCAGAGGTTCGTGTTCACGATGAGGTCGCTCCAGGGCGCGCTCATCATCGCCGGCGTCTTCCAGGCCGTCGTCGGGCTTCTTCGGCATATGGAGAGTCTTCATACGGTTAGTCTTGTACTGACGCTGTCAATCAAATGTCGTCTCTGTTCTTGCTCTTGTACTGACGCTGTCGCTGTGCCGTGTGGCCCGTGCATTTCAGGTTCCTGAGCCCCCTCGCGGCGGTCCCCTTCGTCACGCTCTCGGGCCTGGGACTCTTCTACTTCGCGTTCCCCGGGGTGAGCTGCTCGCGGCACGGCCGAGTAGTCTTGTCGTCGTCTTTTTGGCCGCCGCAGCTTGCTTGCTAATCAGTCTAGTCTCTCCTGCAGGTCACCAAATGCATCGAAGTGGGCCTCCCCGCCCTTGTCCTCTTGGTGATCTTCGCAGAGGTAACAGCAACCAACCCGGTGGCTGGCGGTGGCCGTACGGCGCCATGGCTTCTGCAGCGACTGACATCCGTTTTCCACCTTGCAGTACGCCGCCCACTACTTCGCTAAGGGAAGCATCGTGTTCGGCCGGTGCGCCGTGCTGGTGACCGTCATCGTCGTGTGGATCTACGCCGAGATCCTGACGGCCGCCGGAGCCTACAACGAGAGGGGCCCCGTGACGCAGTTCACCTGCCGCACCGACCGCTCCGGGATCATCGAGGGCTCACCTTGGTATGCTAATTGTGCACTGATCTTTGATGTGCTCTGTCTGATTTCTGCTTTGGGTTACTGTGGTCTGAGCCGAGAGTAGCCGAGTGCTGACGATGCATTGCGTGCTCTGCTCCGAACAGGGTGAGGTTTCCGTATCCGTTCCAGTGGGGATACCCGATTTTCTGCTTCCAGGATTGCTTCGCCATGATGGCTGCTTCTTTTGCATCACTTATTGAGGTACGCACGCACTGTGTTCTTTTATTTCTTCAGTAAAGGATGCGGAATAGTCCCTGGTAAAGATTTTAGTGAACATTGAAAACGTTCCAAAAGGACGTGAAATTGTGTGAGCTAATTCAGTAAACATTGGCAACATTCCAAAAGGACGCGAAATAGTTAAAGCAGATAGCATTAGCATCTTGAACAATACAATTGCTTGTTCTAAGGCCGATTAATACGTCCCTAAGAGAAGAGTGCCCTATGCTGACTCTGATGACGAGGAACTTCCAATGCAGTCTACCGGCACCTTAATCGCAGTGTCAAGATACTCAGGCGCAACGTTCACCCCACCCTCCGTGTTCTCGCGTGGAGTTGGCTGGGAGGTAATCAAATAATCAAAATGTTCAGTTCTTCTAACTGTCTTTTACAAGGATTTTCACTGACCGGAAAGCAACTTCCAACAAATATCAGGGCATATCTATCATACTGGACGGGATGTGCGGTACACTGACAGGAACAGCAGCTTCAGTGTAATGCACGCTACTTTAATCAGTTGATAATCTCAGTTAGCAAACCGAAAGCTTTCAAGTAACCTGCCTTTGTTGCTTTCAAAGTGAGAATGCAGGCCTGTTGGCACTGACGCGAGTTGGAAGCCGGCGAGTTATAAAGATCTCAGCCTTGTTCATGATTTTCTTCTCATTGTTTGGTAGGCTCTCATTCTCTGCAACTTTTAGCACTATATCAGGAGTATCCAGCCTTTCATGTGTTTTTTTAGATAATGATCCAGCATTTCATGGTCAGTTATCGCATCTGACTGATACGAACTGCAAATCAACAGGCAAATTCGGGGCGGTTCTTGCATCCATTCCATTGCCGCTTTTCTCTGCACTGTATTGTGTCCTCTGGGCTTATGCAGGTAAGCCTTACTGTCAGAATCCACAACAGTTTTAAACTTTTACCCATCATAGTATGGAATCTGACGTTTTTCCATACCGTGTTTTGTTGATCTGAACTTGCTTTCTGCCTGAAACAGCCGGTGCAGGCTTCTCCTTCCTTCAGTACTGCAACCTCAACTCCTTGAGAACAAAGTTCATACTAAGCATCTCGTTGTTCCTGGGACTGTCCATCCCACAGTACTTCCGGGTCTACGAGATGTTCTTTGGCTTCGGACCAGTTCACACCCATTCAGTCGCGGTATGCATACTCGATGCAATAGACGAAACAAATTCCATTAAACTTTCACATTCTCACCTCTTTTCTCCTACTTGCCATTGCAGTTCAATGTGATGGTCAATGTCATCTTCTCGTCGCCGGCGACGGTGGCCGCCATACTGGCCTACTTTCTGGACTGCACCCACCTGTACTGGGAGGCTAGTGTGAAGAAGGACAGGGGTTGGTTCTGGTGGGAGAAGTTCAAGTCCTACAAGTATGATGCCAGGAGCGAGGAGTTCTACCGTCTTCCTTATGGCTTGAGCAGGTACTTCCCCTCGCTTTAGGATGCCGAGAGGAAGATGACAGACCAAGTTCTATTCTATGTAACTGGTGGAGCGTAGAAGATGAACATTAGTTCAAGGCAATAGAACCATATGCTATATTCCTATCAAGCAGTTGGGACACATATATGTTTTAGCACCAAAAAACATATGGATTTTGTTTGTATCTATGACGTCTAGGCCCACATGTCATAACGAACACATAAACACCCTCTCCCTCACCGTTTTCTCTCTCACCTGACTCTCTCTCTCCCTCTCTCTTCTCTCACCACCACCAAGCGCTCAGCCTGGCTTGTGGCGCCCGCCTCGGCCTTGCTTCGCCTCCCTCAAGCCCTGCGTGTGCCGCCATGGCAATGGCGGCGGTGGCGGATCCGACTCCAGGTAGAGCCTCTCCTCCTCCTCCTCCTCTGCGATCTATGATTATCTGGAGGTAGAAGAAGGATGGAGGCTGGAGGTAGAAGAAAGTGAAAGACTGTTGGATCTTAATTCTATGGTGAAAAAAAAAATGTGTTCAAACTATATAAAACATATGGTTGTTCAGTAGACAGACCTAAAATCCTCATAAAGCATTTTGGATGATAAACTTTTGTAATTACTGGGAGAGTAGGATGGTATCGCCGTCAACCAGGGGAGAACTCTGCAATAATTCAGTCACCAGTTTTTGCTTCAGATTCGAAACAGAACACAAACGCCTTGACAGCAATTGATTGAAGAACATGGCTTCGATTATTTTCCCACATCATTCACCATGGCAAAGCTTTTGCCGTACCACATCATCCATGCACTAGTCAAGTGTTCACTAAAGCAAAAGCATAGTCAAGTTACTACCGGAAATGGCAAACCAATTATTTGTCGCCCGTGCCAGCAGATGATCCAGCCGCCTTGGCCTTGGCCTTGGGCACCCACACACGCCCGTGGGGCTCTGCAGCCCCATGGCCGCGGCCGCGCCAGGGTTCAGCCGACCTCCTCCCAAATCGTGCCGGTTGCCGGCGCTGCCCTTCAACTAGGCCCTTGGGCTTCGCCTACACGGTCTTGCGGAGCGGGTCACCGCTCTTCGGTTTGTTGCTGCCATCGGCGGCCGAGATGGGAGGGGCCTGTCGCGGCATCTGCGAGCCTGGGCGCTGCAGGCTTCGGTTTCCCCGTGTTGCCCGACTTGACGCCTAGCGGCGGCGACGGACTGGCCGTCTTCGCCGGAGCATCGCCCGGGCTCGTTTCTGCGCTCCGCCCGCCCGCGCCCTTCCTCCCCTTGTACGCGAAGTGGCCTGGGGATGATGCGACGGCCGCCTTGGCCGGATCGAGTGGAGAGGCCTTCCCCATCGCCTTGATTTCGCTCTTGTTTTCCGGCTTGCCGCCGTTCGATGCTGCAGGAGCCACCGCCTCGGCCAGATTACCTGGATCGCCTACAGTATGGCACGAGGAGGCCTTCTTCTTCCCCTTCCCCTTCCACGGCGACTTGCATCCGCCATGGGGATGGGGTGCATTGTCCGCGACATCGTCCGGCCCCTTCTTGCCACGGTTACCTCCTACAATCCATTCCTTCTCCCGTGCCGCAGCTTCCCCGCACGTCGGCATTGGCCGCGGGGTCGTGGCTGGTGACCGATACCCCACGGCCACCCACTGCTGGCCCTGCCCTTGTGCGCGCCCTCCTCGATGCCTCTCCTTGACTCCGCAGAAGGCCTCGCGCGAGGCTGCGCGGCCCTTCGTCTCTGCCTTCAGCGCTGCCTCCCGCTTAACCGCGGCGGCCATGGCCGCCTCCTCCACCTTTAGCGCCGCCGCCCGCTTGGCTGCGGCGGCCTCCTCCTCCTCCCGCCGCCGCTTCTCCTCCTCCTCCTTCTCCTTGAGGCGGAGCTGCTGGAGCTGCTGGAGGCTGACGTAGTTGGGAGGGATGGGAGGCGGCTCCCGCCTCGGCTTGGAGCTCGGCGCCGCCTCCATCGCTTCTCCCCTCTCGGCGATGAACCTTGGGCAGGAACGTGACCCGGAAAAAGACGGATTGACGGAATCGCTTTAGGGGGTGTTAGGATCAGCCAGGAGGTGTATACCGATAAAAAAAACAAATTATACAATCAGTAGTTGCGAAATAAATTTATCAAACCTAATTAATCCATCATTAGCGTATGTTTACGGTAGCACAACGTTGTCAAATTATAGACTAATTAGGTTTAAAAAATTCATCTCACAAAACAGTCCCAATCTGTGCATTTAGTTTCATAATTAGTCTATATTTAATACTTCATACATATGTCTAAATATCCGATGAAAAAGTGACTAAAGTTTAGGAAGTGAATCTAAACACCCCTTAGACTATCTCCAACAATAACACCCAAAATAAGACTCATTTGATCTCTGGGTAGCGCTACAGTCAAATGATTCAATACCCATTCGGCATCTTCTCCAACAACATGACCCAAAAGAAAATCATTTATGCAAATGAGTTTTCAGGAAAGAGGATGCTTATATTTGTGTTGTGTCTATCAGACAACCTAAAATGATCTCCCGTATAGATAGTCTGTTGGAGGCTGATTTACTCATTTTAAGTTTAGGTCTCCATATAGATCTCTTGTTGAAGATAGTCTTATTAGCTTTTCTTGGCCCACCATCCATAGATTTTCTGAGCCTCTTCTCGGTTCCGGCTCTGTCTAGAGCACTGTTTTCTGTAGCTTTCATCCAGAACCTTCCGGGTAGGGCGTTCCTCCGTCCTCCTAGTGCTATCTCCGTCTTAAAAAGAATGCAACTATAGATTATGTGCCATGAAAAGTTATTCATGTTAGATCAAGTTTTTAGTAAATAATATTCATATTTATGACTTTAAATTAATTTATTATAAAAATACATTTCGTAATTAATCTAATGGTATTTATTTATTATTATAAATATTATTATTTTGTTATCTATAATTAGTCAAACTTAAGGTACTAAAACATGACACTATGCTAAAATTGCATTCTTTCTAGGACGGAGGTAGTAGATTACAATCCTTATTCTTCGAGGGTCGATTTAATTTTAAATTTAACTCGATTTCAATACAATAATATCACCACCTTCTTCCCCTCCTCCCTGCCGCTGGTGCCATGGCCATGGCGCCCCCACTCTAGCCTAGCCAGGCCGCCTCCACCGCCACCGAGGCCCTAAACCGCATGGCCAGTCTTCCTCTCCTAAACCCCTTAACTTCTAAGGCCACGTACCTCGCCGAAGCTGAATTCGCCACCGCCACCGGAACCCTACCAGGGAGGAAGGCGACTGAAAGAGAGAAAGAGAAGTGGGAGGCCGGTGTGCGGGCGAGGTGTGCGGACAGGTGGATTAAAACCTGGCCTTTCGTAATAAAGTCTATAGCATATTTATATGTGGGTGTCCATTCCTCCACTTTTTCTATTACTACACCTTTTTCTATTACCGTGTGTCCTTTATTTGCTTTGTTTTACATTTCTTCGTTGGAAACAAGCACTGCTCACCTAAACGATCATTTAGTCTGTTTAGATATTGGCCATGTTCGCTTGAACTTATCAGCCGTACCGTTTTAATAAATAATAGTGTTTTTCTCTTACAACAAATCAGCATCAGCATCAGCCTCTTTAAACGCTACATGATGGTACGTTCTCGGCCAGTTCGCATTTTTTTTACAAGAACTCAAATATATTAAGCATTAAAACCAAAGCACAAGCTTCTGGGAATTCTAACCGAAGAAGTAACTTGTAGCTCCAAGGCTACGGCAATAGAACCAGCAAGTGGCTTTACAAAAGAGCTTGATAACACCGGTACACAAAGATTCTTTAGAATAAAACTGCACTTCCGTTGATGCAAACACCGGTGATGCCTCCATTGGAGGCGCTGGGCCTCTCGAGAGAAATAGCCACGATAGAGACATCGGGATCCTCATTCTCACACTCTGATAGTACAGTTGGCACTCCCCTCGACTGTCTGATAAGTCTCCGAGGATTTAATATCTTGAGTCATAATTTAGAAGGAGCTTCACCGACTCAAGAAAATGACGCCATGACTGCCAACGTTAAATCTGAGAACCATCAGCGTTGAAGAGGGTGTGTAAATTTAGGACATGTCTATACCTAAACTTTAAAAAGTTTAGAAATATCAAGTTTCAAGTCAAATAGCTTAGATCCTATTTGGATTGATTAGCTGCTAATATAGATAGCTAGCTAATAACTCATAGCTAATATTAGTTAGCTAACTATTAATTGTTTTGCCTAACTAATGAGATAGTTGTTAATTAGTACCCAGCTAACAATTAGCTGCCCCGTTTGATAAAAAAAACTAATTATTAGCAACTAACAATTAGCTCTATGATCCAAATATGGCTTTAGTCTATAAAGTACTCACTTCATTACAAATTATGACGTTTTGGTCTTTCTAGACCTATAGCTTTGCTATACACTCAGATATACTAGATACATAGTAAAAACAATATATTTTCAAAAACAAAACGTCATATATTTAAAATAGGGGGAGTAGATGCACTTGTCGTGTGGGTGTATATGCTTGTGTTGTAGAGGGTGTGTATATATGGTAAAATTTAGTCAAAAGTCACTGGTTTTTCAATTTTTGGAGTGCATTTGCACCCTACAAAGGCTATACCTCACCCCTAGATAAGTGACCGCCTGCTTACCGCAGGTCCTTACGATTGTTAGAGTAGACTGTGGAGGGCTCATAGTTTGGGCATTTCTAGAGCCAGAGAAGCCCGAGAGAAACGTGGCATCGACTTCTCTTTGTCTCCCCATTAGTTTTACTACAGTAGCAAACAATGCAAAAAGAATGTACGATGTACCCTTCTATCCAAATTCAATTTGTATCGGTAAAATAAATCCAAATTCTAGATTCCATAGTAGATAAATTATTGCAGGCAAAACGAATTGTGAGGGTCATTTAAGCGACTTCAAAAGTAACGAACCACCTACGATTAGAGTTATAATAATTTTTTTTTGTTATTTTAAAAGTTAACTCTTTTAGTTGTGCGGGTAGCTCTCAGGAATATTACTCTGTGTGACTGTGCATACTTTCTCAAACACTACCTTGCTATAGCTATGTTTCCTTAGACTCTGTTTGAGCATGTAAAGAATCTTCTTTCTATTCTTGTCTAGGGACTAAGATTTTCACACTTATAGTATCCAGGCTGCAAAGATTTACTCATAAAACATTGTGTTAGAGGGATTCACTCTCGATGAGAATCCGAAAACAAGTTCCATATACTATCTTCTTTCCCTCCTTTGTTTCTGTCTTTAGGTGGTGCAAGCAGGAATTGAACCTACTTTTTTTTTACCCATTTAGCCTTTCTAGGTTAGCGTGTGCTTTTAACTGTTCCCATGGATGCTTCAGTAAAGATGGCAACGGGTAAAATCCGCGCGGATACTAGCCCTAGATATCCATACCATGGAAAAATCCGTGCAGCCAGCATTAGTGCTTAACTCACGGGTAGAAAACCATGCCCGTGCCGCTATCCGCCATGGATATCACATGCCAGGCACACCCATATACCCGCAAAATGAAGCAACAAAGCACCCAACCATATCTTAATAGCAAGTAAGAAACAATATATCAAAAAAATAAACGTCTATATCTCAACATTAGATAAAGTATGACACATTGACCATACAAGAGTCATCAAAAGTCTACATTAGTGTATCTCAAGTCATCACAAATTAACACGAATAAAGACATACAACCGTATATAGACTTATAGGGTCATTAGCGCGGGTCTGCGGGTTTGCGGGTGCGGATATCATTTTTCCATGCCCACGAGCAAATATCCATCGGGTTTAGAATCACACCCATGCCCGTGCCCGTGGGCACAAACTTAAGCCCATATCCATGCCCATCGGGTTTTCTATCCGCGGGCACGCGGATATTTTGTGCCCGTTGCCAAATGGATGCTTCAGTGAGTGAACTAGGTTTTTATTTTAGGGCAAACTAGGTTTTTATTTGAGAGCGGACTATGCTTTTAGTGGTACTACTTCTTGAGCTTCTACTCTTCAGTTAAGAGAGTGTGTTCTTTTTTGAGCTACGGCTCGTGTCGATGTCCCATTCCGACAAGCCAGTGTTGTTTTTTTTTCTTTTTCTCTTTCCTTGAGTTGGGATTTCGGTGCGTGTTGATGTTCCAATCCAACCGTCCGAAGTTGTATATGTTTATTTTGCCTAGTCTGGGTTTCATCTGTTTTTTAATATAATCAGCAACTCCCTCCTGCCTGATTCTTTTTTTTTTAAGAGAGATTTGGAAAAAGATGGAATCGGAAGGCAGGGTACAGGTAGAGAAGGGGAAGTTAGCAAAGTTAGATAAGCTTGGAATGGGCATAGGAACATGTATTGAGATGATTCCTAGCTGGGTTAGAAAGTTTCCATGTATCTCAACTAAACTAAGATAAAACTATCTTTTGGTATATAAATGATTCCCGGTTGGGCAGGAAATTTCCATATATCTCAATTAAACTATTTAGTTGTCCTTAGAATTCTAATCTGCTTCGGAATGTGTTGGATGAGTGTAGTTTATGGGGCATGGCTGGAGCTTCTAAGCTCCAGCAATTTCTTGCCAGGTTGCTCACCGTCGCTGTCTAGGGTGAGATTTGTCAGGTCGTGGTCTTGTGTGCTGTGGTGAGTCTGTGGTGTGGGTGTGGGGTTAGTTCTCGGGTTGGTCCTTGTACGGACCCATTGTATTCTTATTCTTGCTTAATGAAATCACACGCAGTTCTCCTACGTCATTCGAGAGAAAAAAAGTTGTCCTTAGAACACCCCCCCCAGGGGTTTCCCTCCCCTGTCTAGTTTTTGTAGTTTTATTTATAGAAACCTAACCATTAGAGAAACACAAAAATATAGCTCACTGCTTATTCTGTTCACTAGGCATTATCATTGATTTACTAAGTTATTTTTAAAGAGCTTTTGAGATACGGGCTAGGATTGGAACCGGTTGTAACTTGTAAACGATATCACTTGTGTAAGACAATTTTCGGAAAACGAGATTTTTCATTTCCGTTTTCTTCCAGTCATCTCGTGAACCATGGTTGAAACATTGCCGCACTTTGTTCATACAGCATTTGCACGCACATATGTCAAGCACCAAAAGCAATTAAATCCATATATATACTAAGTTGTACAATAAAAAAACAATAGTTTTACCATCAATCTGTCATCCACGCAATATAGCAAAAGCTTTTTTGCTCAAGGTCACGATTGAGTTATTCTCAAGCTGCACCACAGATCCATCAATGAAGTATCCGCATCGCTAAACGCTCAAAACGGAGCACCCACACACAAATGCTACCGGTAAACGGCCAATGTCCTGATGCCCTCACTGCCCCCTGCACAGAGCAAATCACTTCCCAATGAATAAAGAGAACGGTTCATGCAAACAATGAAGGTACACACCAACCGCCCATTTCTACTGTATTAGTTTGCTGATGAAGCAAAAATAGTAAATAAAAGTTAAACAGCAGCATAGTTCCAAATGATTGGTGTTGTATTGGCATATCACCAACAGTGACTATTTGCACGACATTCTCAGACACGTAATGATGGATCAGAATGTGGCAACATGGTCATAACTAATAACCATGGTAACTAATCAAATATGAGATCACAACTATGATCACAACCCACACAAGTCAGAGCTAAGATAAAATACTATTGTATCACACTATATAAATAATACTGTATAATGCAACAATTCTTCTGTGCAATGAATGTTCACTTGTAAATTAGTAACCTATTTTCATGATTATAAAATAAATAAATGGGGCAACTCTGGGATGCTATTCTACATTTCAGTGTGGGCCTTTTTATCAGTTCTTGGATTTGTCAGCTATTTGCAACTGGTCAATTCATCAAGATCATTCTAGCAGGTTAGACTAAAAACCAATTTCAGATTGAGTACATTTCAGACCCCCCCCCCCCCCCCCACCCAAAATAAAATAAAATAAAAAATCACATGATCACAATGTCTGAAAACTTGAATCATTAGTAACAAATGACCACCAAATTTTGTGGTCACATGGTTTGATAAAATCCACTCTTAACAAATTTTAAACTGAATTGATATGACAATGGTACCCACAATTTCCGTTTTGTCAACTAGCCAACATAGATGACAGGTTGACACGGAGGGCAAGTGACAATTGGATGAGATTTTGTTAGGGTGGGTTTTTTACAAACAACATAGCAATAGAGCCTGATGTTACATACCATAAAATAACCTATTTGACGTTTTCTGCAACAAAACCTGGGGTCCCTGGAATTTACTCTATAATAATTGATGAATAACCATAGGTGAATAGATGACCATGAATGAACACAAAACCATTGATACAGCCATCGTATCAACACGATTTATTTTTGGGCGAATCATAATTACCATCCCAGTCAAAAGCAATCAATCATCATGCAGCAGCTAAAATCACTCTGCCATGCATTAACAGAGTAACAAAGGCATTTGTCAATTCATACATGATTTTTTCCAGGTAGCACAGTTAATGCTGGAAATTGGTTCCATAATAATTTTCTAGCACTGGCACCAACTTATATTGGTCCTAGTAAAGATTTAAGATGTTTTATATCAAGATATTACTATCATATTATATTGGCACATACTTCTTAAAATAGGGAAAATAAATAGTGGGCTAGTGGCTGCCTATCAGAACTCATATAGTATATGGGCAATACAATTTGCAAGGTAGTATGGGCTGTGTACAGGAATATAAACTGAAAATACATGTCATCAGGAAATGCAATATTTTACATAAATGTATTGAGGCGCCAAGAAAGTACATTGGCACATGCACCTACATTCACTACTCACTAGACAAATTCAGTGAGAAAAAGGTAGAGAAGTCTTTAGAATTAATATAACACTTAGATGAAATATAACACTTCTCATGGGATAACTCTATTACTATCTGAAAAGGGGACAACTCACTTAATCAATTTGACATGTATGGAGCTAATTTCGGATCAAGTAATGTATGACTTATGAATTACTTTGATATTCGTAAGGAGCTAAACCAACCAGTTAGACTCTTATGTTCAGTAGAATCACCAAAAATATGTTCAGTAGAATCACCAAAAATATTAAATTCATTATTGGATCATACACTCGGGTCATAAGTTACCTATTTTCCCCACTGCTGATTGTGAACACATGAAATTTGTAAATCTCTGATCTGAGGGCAGCACGTGTGCAGTCACTCTACTATTTATAAAATAAAATTTTCACCTTATTAGGCATTTTTTCACAGAAAAAAAGAGATTGCCCAGAACTTTGCTAATGAAGCTCAAATTCTAGCGATTATAACCTAATAAAAAGGGATTAAAAGAAGAAAACCTAAATCAGCTAGATATAATACCAAAGGTTAATAAAAAGGATGGAGTGCCCAATTTTGCAACAAATACGATAAAGAGGCAATATCAAATTAGTGAGACAAACCTGTGTAACCTAATAAGTTGGATCACCACATGCCATGAAAATATCTACCAAAAGGCTCCTAAATTTGTAGCATGTTCAACATCCTGGTACTACCATACAGCGCACCTGTTTCGTGGATGCCTAAATGAGCTAAGGATGAGTTGGGTGCAAATGGAAAGTATTCCATCTGAAGTATGGGTTCTCAGCTCACACAAGCCTTCCAGTCCAGCCCCCTGGACCGGGGTGAAACTGCACTCAGAAGTCAAAATTCTCCTCAGCGCAACTCAATCCGCAAACCTACTCAATTCCACTAAGCGTCGTAAATAGAACTTCACCAGGCATTTCGTCGAGCACTTAGCGATCACAATAGGACACATTCCAATTCGTCACCGCAACCCACTAAATGTCTGATCAACAAATCAACCAGCAAGAAATGGCAAGCACAAGCACACAGAAGCGGTGCGCTAACAGGTACAACAGGTAGTGATGGAGATGGGAGGGTGGCCCTGACCTGATCTTCTTGATGAGGATCTCGCGGAGCTTCTTGCCGAGCTCCTGGGACCGGACGCGCTGCATAAGCGCCTTACGCGCGAGCACGCGCTTTTCCGAGTCCTTGACGTGGTGGTGGGTGCGCGCCCGGATGAGGCGCTCCATGCCGCTGGACCGCATCTTGCGCTCCATGACCGACAGCGCCCGCTCCAGGTTCCCGTCCCTCACCTGCACCACGATGCCCCGGGATTGCTGCACCTGCCCGCGGTGCCATGCCTCCATCGCCGACGGCCGCGTAGCCGCAGCCGCGAGCCCACGCGCCGCCCGTGCCACCGCCTGCATCGCTCTCTTTCGTCTCCTCCCGCCGCCGCCGCACACACCCTGACACTCGTTGTAGCCGCCTATTCGCGGGAGCGTTGGATTCGGGCTGTCTCGGTCCGATACTTTCGTGACCGTTCGTTTTTCTTTCTGCAGTTAGACCCCTGTGCTCTTTCAAATTTCCTAAGTTCGTAGGTCAAAGTGGCAAACCCCGCAAAATAGTTTCCTCTTCCCATTGCATCTCCAGTCGCAATTTGGGGCTCTCAGTGCCACTGGCGACGACGGGCGATTGCGATCTGCGAGCCCGCCGAGCCGCCGCCCTCGCGAATTCGGCCGCGGCGACTGCCGACTGACTCGGTGCACTTTCTCTCCCGCCCTACCTCTCTCCCCTGCGCTAGGTTTCACCGTTTCACGCAGCGGCAGGCGATTTTCCGCCGATGCCCCCGGCGAGGGTTTGTCCCAGTGGAAAGAAGCACCGCTCCCGTGGAAACAAGAAGTCGTTCTAGTACGACATCGATGTTCAGTATAATGCTGACCGACTCTGTTATGCCCCGTTGGTTTTGGATCTTAACCTGCACCTGCTGTTACTTGTTTGTTTTAATAACAAAATGCCCTTTGTGTGTAATCTTTTTAGCGTAAAACGAAACCCCCAAATCTGTCAAAGTTCCTTTTGCAGCTTCGGTTAGTAAAGTTCAACTGCCAACCTGTATGTATAGAAGAATTGAAATAGAGAAGAAAACTGTGATGAAATGATGAGTCAAATACTGATGCCACGTGGGTTTGTGTGAATCAACTCATAAAATTGTTACTGAAATAGAGAAGAAAACTGTGATGAAATGATGAGTCAAATACTGATGCCACGTGAGTTTGTGTGAATCAACTGATAAAATTGTTATGGACCCAACCGTGTTGTGCCACCCTTTTCTATTTATGGTTGAATGTGAAAAGCTTGTCGCTAGCAGTTATTACGTTTTCTTGTGGGGAATAGCTCTCACCTATTTTCCTGTAATCTTTCAGGGAAACAGTTTCTGTTCCACTCTGCAACCGATTCAATTCGTGGATTTTGCGTACGCAAATGCAGTGAAATATGTCTTAGCCTCGGTTAAGTTTAAGTACTTATATTTTGTATAGGATCTGTATACTGTCAGAAGTCCGCATCTTCGAAAAACAGTTTTAAGTACAAGTTTGTTATTATACCAAGCAAAAATGTTAGATGTTATGTGCTAACTGCTAATATGTGTTGGTCCTTAGTTGTTTGTGCATCTGATACTTGTCCATCCGTTTTCTCTGTTTGAAATAAACAGAAGGTGGTGCATGCCATATATATATGATTATTATGCTTGCACTATTGTAAACTATGCGATTATACAGTACAACTATTGTAAACTACTTGATGTCACACTATGTGTCGGTTTATCTTTAATGTAGCAATTAGCAATTCAATGTCCATGTGGAACTGTTTATGCAATGGAAGAAAAGAAAGGTAGCATTCAAAAGAAAAGATGCCCACCTGATACAATCTTCCTAAAGTAAACTTGTCATTTCCTGCTTGTGGTTCTGTAAGTGAGATCTGCAAGTCTCATACGACAATATAGCCATATCCACTGTTAGCAACCACATTGAGTGGATCACGTGCTCCTTCTATTAAGTTTTTTTTCTATTAACAAAAAAGGACTTGTTTGTTTCATTGAGATCTTTTGGGGTGCTTTGGTTTCTAGTTCATCCTGGAATCACATCAATCCTTGAACAACCACTCATAGTGGCTTTGTTATATGTCCTATCCTCCTAGGTTAACTTGAGGCTTTGTTCTATCAGTTTTGTTGCCAGAAGTATGGATCTACCCTAAGTTTAAACTTTAGTATGTTTATAGACAATGAAAAGCCACCCCTCTTCCCTTTTCTCTTGCGGAAAGAGTTGAATAGGGGGTGGTGACTGGCAGAAGTATGATTATTCAACTTGAACAAGCATATAAGAAAACATAGTTTACTTATTAATTGTGTTTAAATGATTTAGTCTCGTTCTCTGTGACTGCAATTTCCAGCAGTTCTGGCCACCACCAAACTGTTTTTATTGTGGAAGAGAAGAAATGTACCATTCAGAATTTTTAAGATGCCTACACAGATCAATCTTCCTGAACTAAATTTGTTCTTACATCCTAAGACTGTACTAAGGTTTACATGACAAACAAGCACTCTGCTGTCAGTAACCACATAGAATGGATTTGGCTTTCCATCCTAAGATGCCTTTTGAGTCCATAGTTCCATCAATTTTGATGTCTAGTGCTTTTTCACCTGAGTTATTAGTTCTTCAGAGGCTCAGTCTCTGAAGTTTTCCGATAGTTTATGATAAGGCCTGATTGGTTGATTGAGAGTTATAGGATGATAAAGCCAAATGTGGATCATCTATTCTTTTGTAGACTCTTGAATGACATTTGGAAGATAAGGCAATCATATTATTGCTCTGTGCATTACTGCATATGTATCTTGTAGTATCAGTGTAACTACATGGTAGAGATAGCAAGGAAGCAACTTCAAAACAAATTAAGTGCATCATTGAAGTTCTCTGTTCTACATCCGATGTATGATGTATACTATCACATGCTTTCTGTAGAGTTGTAACACTGACAATTGAGTATTGGTCCCCTCATGCTATATCACTATATGATATATTTGCATGGAATCCTGGATTTATAGTTCACAAGATACAATTCTTTGTTATTTGTTTTTTTTATCCTTGTCCATCTTGAAGTTTTTGAACAGATGTCAGTGCTATTGGTTAATTATCTTGTCTTATTTCTGGGCTTGTTCAGGTCAGTTTGATTAGGCAATATGGTTATCCCTCCACCAGCTAGAGCACCTGTAATCACCAAGTTCCTGAAGCCCTATATTTTGAAGATGCATTTCACAAACAATTTTGTGAGTGCTCAGGTCATCCACACCCCGACGGCCACAGTCACATGCTCTGCAAGCTCTCAGGAGAAACTGCTGAGGCCAAGCATGGAGTCAACACGGGATGTTGCTGCGGCTGCAAAGATTGGGAAGTTGCTTGGGGAGCGCTTGCTGTTCAAGGGTATCCCTGCAGTATTTGTCTCCATGTCAAGAGACCAGAAGTACCATGGCAAGGTCAAGGCCGTGATAGATTCTCTTAGAGATGCAGGTGTGAAATTGCTATGAGGAAAACTGACTGTTATGGCAGAAGGAAGTTCGGGGCTCATATTTACCTCAAAAGCTGCGTTGGCGGTCCATTAGTTTCCTGACTGAATTTTCTCATGGGTGCTGCTGAACAATATCTCGAACCATGTAACAGGACACTTCGGCCAGAACAGAGCTCGCTTGTGGACAAATGCTGATTGTCTGGGTCTATCTTCCATTAGTTATATAGTATGAACAAAATCCTTTTAGATGAATTGAATGCCCGTACTTTTCTATAAAATGAAATTAAGTGGTGAGGGCACTTCTAATGTAAGAAACTACCCATAGTTTCTATATAGGATACTGTAGCAAGAAACTATTCTTTCCCGTGCAGCCTTTTTATTTTTTGTCTAGAGTCCAGATAAAAATAAACCGATCAATCTCTCTTCTGTACCCGGATCCTCTGCGGCAACTGCGGCATGAAGCGATGGTGCGTGACGACGCAAGCTCCCCGTGACCTCTGCGGGGCTGGGCGGGTGGACGCAGAGAGCTCCCCGTGGGGGGGTGGTGCGCGACAGCGCGAGCTCGCCCTGTGCGGGCGGACGTGGGCGTGGGGCCGAGCGACTCCGTCAGGTGGCCGCGAGCTCCAATGGATGGCCACGAGCTCAGCCGAGCTAGTTTCGTCGGGCGGCCAGGAGCTCCTCACACGTGCTACGTCAGGCGAGGCCTACGGCGGCCGCTCCCTATCTGCAGTTGCTGCAGAGAAGTAGACGTCGACGACGGTAGTCTTATCCTCTAGAATCTAGAATCTATATAATTAATGGAAATTTTTTCACCCTATTATTTGACTCAATATTTTGAGTCAGGGTATTTTAATGTCTCAGGATCAGAATTTAGATGCATTGTTGATCCGGGTTGTGGATTTTATCCTGGTTTTGGATTTTTATCCACTATTGGGTGTCTACCAACTTGAGGTTGGCTTAGATTTACTGATTTAGAGGATTTAGCCCTCGATATCCTCGGACGCCTACTTAGAGCATTATCCTTAGGACACAGACGTACTTCTCCCCCTCTTCTTTGAAAGTGAGAGTTGAGTGGTTTTTATTATATCTCCACTCTTTCGGACGCATTACGAGCAATATAAGAGGATTTAGTGACACCCTTATAATCAGTAAATGCTTCTGGCAGGTTATTTACAATATGTTGTAAGTTTATGATTTTTTGAACTTGTTGTCCAATCTCTTGAGTACGTGGATCTAAGGAGGAAATGCCTTGGGAATTCTAGTTGATTTTCTGGCATTTGTTTTGGTACTTGAAATCTCCCCCCTAATGCCGAAAAATTATCCTCACTAAATATGCAGTCAACATACCGGGCCATGAATAAATCCCCTGTAAGAGGCTCGAGGTATTTAATAATCGATGGAGATTGATATCCCCATAGATACCAAGTTTCCTATGTGGGCCCATAGAGGTACGCTTAGACAATGAGATCAGTACGTATACAGCGCAACCGAATTTTCGTAGATGGGAAATATTTGGCATATTCCCACGTACTAATTGCAATGGGGAGACTACGTGATATGCAATTGGTCGCAATTAAATTAAGTCAGCAGCGTGTAAGACTGCATGACCCCAACATGAAGTTGGTAGGTTGTAATTTTGTAATAACGGTCTTGTAATGAGTTTAATTCTCTTATCAAGAGATTCTGCTAAACCATTTTGTGTATGGACATATGGGACAGAGTATTGAACTTGAATTCCCAGAGCCATACAATAATCGTCGAAAGCCTTTGAGGAAAATTCAGCAGCATTGTCCATTCGAATTGATTGAATTTGATGTTCAGGATTATGTGCTCTAACTTTAATAACTTGAGCAATAATTTTGCAAATGCATGGTTACGCGTGGACAATAGACACACATGAGACCATCTAGTAGATGCATCTATTAAAACTATGAAATATCTAAACGGTCTAGTCGTTGGTTGTATGGGACCGCAAATATCTTCTTGAATACGTTCCAAAATTTTAGTGGCTCATTTTGGATTTTAACATGTGATGGACATAAAATTAGTTTCCCTGTAGCGCATGAAGTGCACATAAAATCTAAAGATTTTGAGAATTTAGCAGTATTTAACTCATGACCATTAGAATTGCTGATAATTTTTCACATCATCCCTATACCAGGATGACTAAGGCGTTCATGCCAAGTTTTAAATGCGTCAACATTATGAAAAATTACCTTGTCGCAACATGCGGTACGGGTTTGATGTATGTGTAGTACAATCCGGACAAAAAAGAGAGAATTTTCTCAACAATTTGTTTGCTATATCCGCTATTTTTAGTAACGAGAAGAATTTCCTCATTATTGTCATCACGGGTTTCTATATGAAAACCATTTTGACGGATATCTCTATAACTTAATAGGGTACGCTTTGAATCGGGATATAATAATGCATCTTCAATTATAATTTAGGTACCCATAGGGTGTACAATAGTGGCACGACCTGAACCAACTATCATAGCATCGTGCCTAGCGATTATCAAAACATTTACTTGTCTTTTAGTAAGAGTTTGGAAATATTTTGTTTCCCTAAGGATAGAATTAGTGGTACCACTATCCACTAGTCATAATTCCTCCTCTATCAGATCGACCCCCATAGAAACTATATATAAATAAAGAATTTAATATGAAACTATTTGATGATATATATAATATATACTTTATTTATTGAATATCAAATGTGTACAATACATTTATTGGATATACAAACTAAATAGTGATGACATTATTAAATATTTACAACATATAGGACATAAATTATGCTTATTATTACAATCACTAGGACACAAAGACATTGGAATCTAAGAGATTGGGAGCTTATTCAAAAGTCTCCAAATATAATGTTGGATGCATATTCCATGATCATATTCCCTGTGTTAGCAAGATCCTCGCCTCCTCGTATGTTGTTGCTGCTTGGTTCCATTGGAACTTGTTGCGAACAACCAGCCTCATTCCTAGTGGTGTCAGGTCGAACATTGAAGTGGGCTTCATACTTCTGTCCTGGTGTAGCACGTCCACGGCCCACAGACTTTAAGTAGAGATCAACAAGATGACTTGGGGTACGATATTTCTTTGTAGCATGGCTATAACAACCACACTTTTGACACACAGGTTTGTCATTCCTATTTTTAGAAATGTTCTTACCACTGTTGGAAGCACGATTTTTGAGATTCTTGTTGCGTCTGCGTTTGTTTTTACCCTTCTTGGAATTTCTCTGATGATGGGTCTTAGAAGGTCCACCATTAAATTTGGGTTTATTCTGAGTGTAGGCATGTACTTCAGGCAATGGAGCAGACCCTATGGGGAGCTGCTGATTATTCCAAACCATACGTTCAGAATGTTTTTCGACCTCAAGTAAAGTTTGTATAAGCTCAGAATAAACCTAGAAAAGTCTTTCACGGTATTGTTGTTGAAGAATCCTTTCAAAGGGAAACGTAGTAGACAGAGTCTTTTCTATCTTATCCGCATCTGTAGGTTCTTTCTCGTAGAATTGCAACTTTGAGCAAATCCAATGAACAACATGGTTGTAATCACTCACAGTTTTAAAATCCTATAAGTGAAGTTGCGTTCGCTCATAGTTGGCCACGGGCAGCACAAGTGCCTTTTGTTGTTTATAGCGTTGCTTAAGAGAGTTCCATAGATTTCATGGATTTTCTTCCAACAAATATTCAGCCTTCAGGTCTAGATGAATATGGCTCCTAATGAGATATAGGGCCATGTATACATGTTGATCATCAAGTGGTGCAACACCCTCTTGGGGTGGTAACACTGCTTGATAAAGTCCACGGGACGCAAGATTAACTTTTACGTCCACAACCTATGTTGGATAATTGTGGCCGTCTAGAGCTAACAATTCAAACTCTTTGACGGTCATTGATCCTACACGAGGTAAACCATCAAAATATTTTAAGTTATTAAAATGTTGTGGTGTGTTGTAATTATGGGATGCAAAATAGAGACAAGATAAATCTTGTATTACTAATGGTGTAAAGATCTCATGTGCATAAATTGTGAAATGGAGGTAGTCACCATAAGGTGTAGACCTCAAATAGGGCATAATCTGTGTTAGTAGATGCCAAGTAATTTATGCAAGTTGTATATGAACGCGTCTTAAGGTAGTCATCATATATTGATGTAGACCTTAGGTAATTCGCAAACGAATTGGATACGCACGTTGAGGATAGTCACTAAGTGTTTACTTAGTGTAGATTCCGCAATAGCAACTATGGTGCTACCTTGTGTATGGCCAACAAGAATGCGAATTATTGGTAGTTATCTTTGTGAAAAGATATAGACCAAATGTTCTAATTTGTGATGTTTGGTATGCGCTGTCGAATACTACAAGAAGGGGTACCCTAAGCAAGAACCAAAAATATTGCTTAAGCCTTGCAAAAATCAAAGCCAAAGGACAACCACGAGGTCTCGGCAGATTCTCCGACTCGCCCAAGGCTTGCGCCGAGGCCTCAGATGAAAGGCCAAAGCCCTCCGCCCCGCCGAGGCCCTCTCGCCGAGGCCCTCTCGCCGAGGCCCCGCCCCGCAATGCCTCGGATGGGATACCAATTCTCCAATTCGCCCGAGGCTGGGCTCGGCAACAACCTCGTCACCTCCGTCCCGACCGACTCCCCTGACAAAACGCCATGTCCAGTCAATACGCCCCACTACTCCCACAAACGTCAGCCGCACATTTGGCACAAGATGAAGCGAGAATGATCGGGACGGGACGGGGGGACCGGCGCAGCGGGTTACCTACCACCAGGCTCATCATCGTGCCCCTAACGACACCGTCTTTATCGCCTGTGCTACCTAACTCCTGCACCAAGGACAAAGTGGCGTGGAGGGTCAAGTCCGAGTCCCAGTAGTCTCAGAATCAGCATGAAAGACCAACCGTTCGTCCTCCGCCTCGTCCGAGACCCCCCGGTAGGGCCTCAGACATACTATTCCTTCTCCGCCTCGGCCGAGGCCGGCCTCGTCCCGCATCCTC